GATTCAATATTGTAAAGATGTCAAGTATTCCAAAATTAATCTACAGATTCAAAGCAATCTCAATCAAATCTCATTAAGTTTTTTTTTTTTTAACTGAAATTGACAGTCTTTCAAAATTTATGTGGAAATACAATAAGGCAAGAATAGTGAAAAGCAATTTGAAGAAAAAGAAAGCTGAAGGGTTTTATCCAATTAGATATTAATACCTATTATAAAGTTACAGTAATTAAAAAACATAGGAAAGGGCAAGAGAATGACCAATGGGAAAGAAGAGGGAATCCAGAACAAATCCACACATAAAAGATACCCTGACTTGTCGCAACACTACAACTCAGTGGGGAAAGAACAGTGTGTTCATTAAATGATGCCACCCAATTGGACATCCATACGGCAAAAAGAAATAAAGAAAAAAACTCATATTCTTCACTTTATACCACACAAAAATCAGTTCCATGTGGATGCAAGATCTAAATGCAAGAGGTCAAGTAAAGCTTTTAGAGAAAATACCTTTGTGACGGTAGGGTGGGCAAATATTTCTTTGAAAGCATTAACTATAAAAGAAAAGGTAATATAGCTCAGTTGGTTGAGTGCTTGCCTTGCATGCACAAAGCCCTGGGTTCAATCCCCAGCACCACAAAAAGTTGAATTATAATAAATAAATTTAAGAGCTTCTTCATTGAAAGACACTATTAACAGAGTGCAGATCTTGTATATAAGACTGAGATAAGAGATTTAAAGTATATATATCCACTAAAGGTAAAGTATATATATCCATTAAAGGTCTTGCTCCTAGCATATATAAAGAATTTCTTCGAATCAATAACACAAAATAATAGAAAAATACAAGAAACTTGAAGTGGCTTCACAAAAGTGGCTTTATAATTGGCAAATAAACATATTAAACATCTTAACTTTCTTTTTTTAAATAAACATTTTTAATTGTAGATGAACATAATAACTTTATTTTATTTATGTAGTGCTAAGGATTGAACCCAGTGCCTCACACATGCTAGGCAAGTGCTCCACAACTGAGCCACAACCCCAGCCCAATATCTTAACTTTCTTATCAAGGATATACAGATTAAAGCCACAAGAAGATATCAGGATATAGCCACCAGAATGGTAAAAAGACTGAAATGAACAAGTCGTGGTGAGAACTTAACCTTTCATTACATTGTTGGCAGAACACTTTGGTACCAACACTTTGTAATAACATTTGACTCACTGATTCCACTTTGAAGTATATATCCAACAGAAATACATTTAATAAAGCACATACCAAAAAGTTCACAGTAGCAGTATTCATAACAGTTTCAAACTGGAAACTTACCTCATGACTATACTAAAAAAAAAAAATAATAATAATAATAATAGATTAAATCCTCATATATTCACACAGAATACTATACCCAAATAAAAATGTTGACATCATGTGGATGAACCTCACAAAGAAAGCCAGAAAGCAAAAAAAGCCAGATACAAAAGAAAATGTAAAAGGAATTGGAAAGTCTGTAAGCAAACCCCCCAAAATACGCATACACAAAAGTCATCTAGGTTAGTTACTACAAGTCTGAATAGAACTTATCTTTGTGGTGGGGAGTAGTGATTGAAAGGAGAAGGGAGTTTCTAATTGTCCCAGTGATGTTCTCTTTCTCTCTCTCTCTCTCTCTCTGCCATATRAGGGATTGAACCAATGCACTCTACTTCAGAGCTACATCCCCAGCCCTGATATTCTGTTTCTTCATCTGGAAGCTGCTTACATAGGTGTGTGCAATGTGTGTACATACATCAGTCTTTTGCATACTTATGATGCATGCGTATTCCTAATATTATAGTTATGGTTTAGATATGAGGTGTYCTCCAAAAGCTCATGTGTGAAGCAATGTAAGAAAGTTTAGGGGTGAAATAATTGGGTTATGAGAACTTTAATCTAATCAGTACATTAATCTCCTGATAGACATTAACTGGATGTTAACTGTAGGCAGGTAAGGTGTAGCTGGAGGAGGTGGGTCATTGGGGACCCATCTTTGGGTTTTCTATTTTGTCTGTGGTAAGAGGAGCTGTCTCTGTGCTTCCTGGTTTTTCTGTCTTGAGTTCCTTTCCTCCTCCACGCCCTTCTGCCATGATGTGCTGCACAGAGCAATGGAGTCACTGTCTATAGACTGAGACCTGTGAAACCATGAGCCCCATCTAAACTTTTCTTCTTCTAAAATTGTTCTTGTCAGTTTTTTTTTGTCTATATCAATGAAAAAACCCACTAAAACAATACAAATTAATGTGTATTACTTAGAGTAAATAAGCAGCAATGGAAATTTTTTCCTACATTTTAATAAAGGCTTAATAGTATTTGAAGAACTCATGTAAATCATCCATCCATCACCCCTTCCCCCACCCCCAATTGATTAGAGAGCCTTGAGCATGCTAAGCAACAAGCTAGGTAGAAGGCACTCTACCCCTGAGCCATATACCCACCCCAATTCTAAGTCAATTTTTAAGAAGCTAAGCTGGGTATGATGTAGCTCAAGGTAGGAGGAATGCTTACCATGTGAGAGACCCTGGGTTCAATCTCCAGCATTTGCAGAAAAAAAAAAAGGGGGGGTAGCATCAAGTGGACAAATGAATGAAGAGAATCACTCAAGCAAATAAATAAAAATAGCTAATAAATGTATAAATACCCAAAATGTAAATCAGAACAATGGAATGCTGTTTTTGCCTATCAAACTCCAAAGATTAAAGGAAACTAACAAGGTTGTTGATAATAATTTGATAAAATTAATACTTTCTTATTCCTAAAAGAAATGTGAATTGGCATAACCTTTCTTAATAAATCTTAAAATGTTCATGTTCTTTGACCTACTAGATCCTAGAAATTATTCTAAGGAAAATCAGAGTTTCAGTAAAAGATGGACTTATATCAGGGTTGACTACTATAGTATTTTGAAACAATCTATTCATAAAGGGATACTGGTTATGATATGTTACATGATGGGATAGCATATTAACAATCATGTTTTCAAAGAGTGATGAGTAGAAAAAGATGTATGATAAATTAAGTGAAAATTTATATAAAATATGTATATGTTTTATGCTAACAAATCTCACACACATTAACATTCATTTGAACAAAAAGTCTATAAGAATACATAGCATATCGTCAGTAGTGGCCATCTTTGGGTGGTGGGATATGGGTCATTTAATTTTTTGTGTGTTTATTTTCCACAATAAAATGTTCTTTGAGCATGTATTACTATTATATTCAAAAATCAAAGAATGATGGGCTAAAAAATATGGTTACCAATTTCCCCGGCTCTAGAAATCTAAGCAACCCAGATTTCTCCCTCCTTCAACTCCCATATGCAATTGAAAATGCCTATCCAAAGCATTATTACATTATTTCTTCTCTCATTTCCAAAATTTAGTGAACTCCTTGCACCCAGATTCTACATTATAGTGAAATGGCCAAATTTCCCACAATGTCTACATTGTGGAAACATCAAACCACTTCACAGTGAACTGCCACACCCCAGCCCCTAAAAATGCACACCAGGTACTTCCACATCTCCCACCCTAGGCATACTCAGAGCTCTTCTCCTACGATATCTTTTCTCCCTTCCATCTTCCTAATTCGATTCATAATTCAAGATTCACCTCGGATCTCGTTTACCGGATATAGTTCTTGGAGGCTGCAAGAAGAGACAGCCGTTTCCAAATTAATCTTCCAATGACAGTTGAACATGTCAACATTTAACATTCCGCAGTTAGTGCCTCATTATCTTGTTGGGCATGGGTCATTTTCCTTTTCTTAAAATCTAGGATGAGCTAAAGYACACATATGCAATGCATATAAACAGCGATGTGAATTTTTACCTGACAGAAAAATGGTATCAAAAACACTCGCCTGATTTTTTTTTTTTCCATTCAAGATGGCAGAGAGCGCCTTAGAAATAATCCTACACAAAAGCACTGATCCAGAGCTTTTGATTTCAAAACTGGCTACACCTCGCGAAATAGCAAAGGACAAAAGAATGGAACCTAGATGCTAAGGCGCCCCAGCCCTAACCACTCACTGCAKGTCCCACACCCATAGATTAAACCATGCCAGAAAAGTGGCACCTGCTGCCTTCATTTCGGGAACCACACCTAGACGGTGAACAGTGACCCAAGGCACTATTGGACAGCGACCCCAAAATTCAAGGATGTAAAAGGGGACAGCAGAGCTGTAATAGTATCTGGAAGGCACGTTCCGGCCCCGCCCAGGAACAGTCCCCCCCGCGGTGCTTTAGTCTCGGGGAAGGAATGGACTGGGATCCCGCCCTAGGGCCGGGCAACCCCTCTCTGACCGGGAATTCTGGGCGGGCCTGAGAACGAGGCCGGCMGCGGCCGAGGCGCCTGGGGCTACACCTGTCAGGCTGCGGCCAATACTAGGCCCCAAAATCGCTGGGGTTGGGTGGTCCAGGCCGTCAAGAGCGCGTCAGTCGATCCCTCGCCCCGGGATCGCCCAGTCTCCTTGCTTTCCCTTTCGTCCTTCTCAAACAAAGGCAACCCACACCCACCGCCATTTTCCCTTTACCTCAAAAACCACCTCTTCGTCAAACTCCGGTGTCATCCTTCTCCGCCATGCCACCCGCCTCAGCACGATGGGAAATGAAGGCAGGCAGGAGAACAGGCGTGCACCGAGGCTTCTGCTCTTGCCGGTCCCGTAGGTCTTGACAACTACAATTCCCAGCATGCCTCGCAGCTCACGCCCCCTTTTTCGGTCCGCTTATTGGTGCAGAGGGTCACCGTGGGGGCGGGGTCAGAATGAAGTACTAGTTCTTCGATTGGAAGACGCTGAGGCTTTTGTCTGCCTTTTACGGCCGCGACTAACAGGGGGCGCCCGCCGCACTGATTTTTTTTTTTTTTTTTTGGAGTTTGAGAGGGGCGCGCGCCAGCGGAGCCGCGGTGAGTTCTGCTCGCGCCCGCGCCTGGCCGTCTGCCCGGAGCGCGGCAGGGCGGCGCTCGTGCTCKCCCGCCTGCTACCAGCGACTCGCGCCCGGGAGCGCAGTAGGGTAGCTGGAGCCGGCTGCATCCTTTGTGCGGCGCTCGGGTTTCGCCGCGGTGGCACGGGACAGAATGTGGGCTCTGCGGGGGCTTTTCTCTTCTGCTCAAACTCTGAAAACAATGGAGTGAAAGGGGAACATGGATTGAGGGGCGCGAGCGGGGAGGCGAGYTGCTCTGGGAAATCATGACTTCTGCCGCCGGTAAGTGGCCGCGCTCGCGCTGTCGCTGGAAAGTTTGTAAGGAGCGCTTTCCAAGCTGGGGCTCTCCGGCAACTTTCTCCGATAGGGTGGGAGAGTCGCGTGGCCTGTACCTTTCCCTAGCATCTCGGCAAATTGCGWAGCGAATGGGGTTTGCTGCTGGATTCACTCGTCCCTTCCTTCAGAGAGGGCTGTTGGACCTCTTGGGACTTCTCTTCAAAGGGAGACCTGTGCTGGGGGCTCTTAACTCCAGGTGAAACGCGCAATGGAAAGAGAGCATTTGCTCATTTCTCCTACAATTGGAGTGACTTTGTTTTTGCGTGGGAGGGTAGCATAGGTTCCCCTATTAAGAAATCATTTATTCTAGGAAAGGGCAATGTTCCCAGAGTATTGAACTGAGCCACTAGGGTGAGTCGCTTTAAACCTAGGGTGGACTGAAAACCCTTTCCATTTCTTATAAAAGAGGTTTAAATATTGTTGCTCATGTCCTCCTGGTTTTACTCCTGATAACCTGAGTGTACAGTGGGATTGCCTCTGGAAATTTTTGTACTCATCTTCACTCCATTTCTTTTGGGATTTTTTTTTCCCCAATAGTTCTACCTGCTTAGTGTCAACAAAGCCTTGTTTTCTGTCTGCTTCCTATAGGCTTTTCCCCTTATTCAAATGACAAAGCYTCTATTTTACCTTTGTGTGGCTTTCGATCCATGGTGGACAATATATTGCTGAACATTCTAAGGAACAAGTTTTATTTTACAAAATAATTACCAAAGTGGTGATACAGTCATTTCATAAGAACATGGGTTAATTTTAAAACCAGCCACTTACTAATGTATTAAGTGGTGTTTTTTTTTACCTTTGTCTATGTTGAAAGAAACTTAGATTAGAAATTTTATAATCAAATAGTTTGAATCTTCCCCTAAAAGTTACTTGTAGATTCAGCACGTAAGTATCATGTTAAATTCTGATTGCTTTTCTTGGCTTTTGTTTAAAATTCCTGCAACCTGAAACTGTCAAACAGCACTCTAAATGTTCTGATTTGTATTATCTCTAAAGCCTAGATATACTGGAGTGTTGGTTTGCTAGGAATAATCAGATTACAACTAATGAGGCAAGAAGTTAGCCAATAGAAATAAGAAACCAAGGAGTGAAATATTTCTGTAGAAGATTTTGTGGATTTTTTTCCTTTTTGATGTTATGTGCAATGTACATGAGAAATGTCATAAAGCTCTATTGTAATTATTTATAAGCTTTCTTTTATTTATTAAGGAAAGCTTATATTGTATTATTTTCATCCTAAATTTCTGTGCCTTGTCAAGGTTTCTTTAATGACTGAACCAATATAATTAAATTAAAGGTGCTTAGCAATTTTACAATCCTTCCAGCCATGTATAGTTCTTCCCTTCTTTGTGGGGTCAAAAATATTCAAAATATTCATCATATGAGTATCAGTGCTCAATTTTATTCCTAATACTTTATAGTGAACAGGTACAGAAGCATTTGACATTTATATATGTAAACTTGATTTCTAGGGCCCAGTCTGAAACTTTATGATTCTTTCATTGGAATTACCCTAAAGTACTGCAAGCTATTTTTATATTTGATCAACTTTAGAATTAAAGAAATCCACGGACATTTTTGTGGTGTTTTTGAAAGAGGAACACTTCCTGTGTATAGCTGAGTTAGTTGGTTTTTTGGTATGGCTCTCTGAGAAGCATTGGCTACTTTTTTGCTCACCCTCTGATAAAATTTATTATTATTATTATGTCTAGATTATGGAAGAGAGCTGGGGTTTAATTCTATCCCATCCTTATAAAACTACATATACATTGTTCTTATAAGCTAACCTGCAAACATGTGGTGCTTTTTTGGCATAATAGTTAAATTTTAGGGAAGTTATTTATAGTTTGCAGGCAGGGGTGTTTGTTTTGAATCTAATCTATTGCATTTGGGAGTGTTGTTTTAATTTAAGAAAATAGAGGAATGTTGTAGGACATCCAAGTTGTATGTATCCTGAGAAGAGCTTGCTTTGCTTTTCTACATCTATGGAAGAATTGATGCTCAGTAGAGTTTAGAATTATTCAAAGCAGTATGTGAAAAGGGTGAAGTAATTATTGGTGTATGTCTTGTATCTTTTTGAACGAGTACAAGTTATTGTCTCATTAATGTCTGTGCTTTGCATTTTATCTGATCCAGTAGCCAAGAGAGAGTGCAAGTGAGCCACAGCCATCTGTGTGTAACAGAAGACAAGTTTGTTTGTAATAGTAAAATTGTATTAGTGTTTCACTTTCGTACCTTATATTTCCCTGGAGCCAAACAGCTGTGTAAATAAAAGATTTGCTACATTGCTCTGAAGAAGCTTTGGAGTTGACTGTTCATACTGTATTAAAATCCAAAGGTGCTGAATTCATTTCCAAACATTATGCGCTTATTTCAAGAGTTTAATATTGTGGCACACCATATTATAATGTCTTGTTTCTTCCAGTTGTGTTTCTTTCAAAATAGAGCCATTAAAAAAATAATAATGAAATATTTTGTATATTGCAATATCAGTGACATAGTTGAACCTTTGTTTATATTAATCATTTTAATGATTATTCACTAATCCTATTGGTTATTGTACTTACTTTTCAAACTATCATATGAGGTTAAAACGAATATTGATTATTTTTTAAGGAATTTCCTGTCACTGAGACATAATAATGAGTATATTTATGTGTTAGCTAAGAGAAAGTAGCAACCTGCTGTAGCTTGCCTTCTAGTGGCAAAGACAGACAAAGGTGTACTGAAGAAAAATAACACGGGACAAAGAGGCTACAGCATATCAGCGTTCTCCAAAGTAGATATCTATGAAGTACAATCTTCATAGATCTTTCAAGTCACCCACTTAAAAGTAGGGAAACTGAGGCAGCCAGTTCTGCAAAAGCACACAATTAGGTCAGCCAGTTCCTGAGTTACATTATTGACTCCCTTTAATACACAGGTAACCAACAATGCTAAGCCCAAGTTCACAGGTATTTGCTTAATTCAGTGGGTATATATTAAGGGCTTAAGGAGCATAATGCTGAGCTCTACTTTTGGAAATCAAGCTCAGCTCATATGTGGTTGATTTAATTTCTATGACACCAAGAGAGAATAAGAATTTATGTCTCTTGGAAGAAGACTCAAAGAAAAGACTGAAATTGGTACCAGAGATTTTTTAAAAGAATGATTCAACTAAAAAGCAAAAATGGTTGGTTAATTACACTGAAACTTCTCACAAGGCTGTAAAGGTCAAAAAGTAAAAGATGAATTAGAAGAGATTATTTTTTAAATTGTGGTAAAATACACATAAATTTATCATCATAACCATTCATAAGTATACAATTCAGAAATAAATGTTAAGTACATTGTTGGGTAGCCTCATCTCCAGAACTCTTTTCATCTTGTAAAATGATTTTTTGAATTCTATCAAAAATCCCAGAGGTAGGATGTTTCAAGGATGACAGAAATGAAATCAACATGACAGTCTGTTTCTTTTTAAATAGGAGGTTGGGAAAAGTCCTATGGAATTCACACTTTCTCTGAAGATTTAACTTGATTGATTGACAGTTTAATAGACCAGTCAGCATTATCACTAGACTTTGAAGGGTTTTGCAAAATTATTTTCTGCCTTAAAAACCCTCAAGAATAATAACATGCTTATTGAACARATAAAGGAAAATTGGCTACTTTGGGAATTTGCTTTACTAGGGATCAAACCTGGGGGTGCTTTACCACAGAGCTATATCCCCAGCCGTTTTTATATTTATTTTGAGACAGGGTTTCACAAAGTTGACTAGGCTGTCCTTGAACATGAGATCCTTTTGTTTCAGCCTCCCAGTCTCGGATTGCAAACACACCCCCATCCTCTCTGTAGAATTTTTCATTATTTTGAAAATTCATTATCCTCCTTAATTTTGATAATATTATATCAAGAAATTGGATGAGAAGATACCTGTTATTGTATAATCTTGGTTGTGCATATAGTATTAGAGGTTTGGGAATTTCTTTCCTGGTTGGGAAAAGGAAGTAGAGTACCCTACTTTTTTTTTTTTTTTTTAACTTAGTTCCATGTAATATTTTTCCAAACGTTGTGACTAATTTCCTTTGTTGAAAAGAAAATCAACACAAAATGAAATATCAAAGCCTCTGTGTGTTCAAGTAAATTAACAATGTCCAGTAGTTCTGTGCAACAGATATTTGAGAAAACATTTTTTTTCCCTAATAAGTAAGGTTTTTATTAAGCATTAGATCCTGGTAAAGGAACAGGCATAATTATAAGAAGTACAAGATAAAACATGTTTCACCTCAGGTTTCCTTGGGTAAATATGGTTGATAAGTGACAGTTTATGTGGGAGATATTTWAAAAAATTAARAAATACAGATATACAGTCTTTATATACCTTTTTATTTAATAGGTCTTTTGTGTAAAGCTGTTATCAAGTTCCTATATGCCAGGAACAGGTCTACACAAATCCAGCATTTTATAATAGGTGATAATTAAATACTTTATCTGGAATGTTGAGGAAGAATTGCTACACTAGAACTTGTGGTCATTTTTAAAATGCAATAGAATAGTGGTTATTAACAAAGAACAAACAACAGGGCTGGGATTGTGGCTCAGTGACAGAGTGCTTGCCTGGCAGGTGTGAGGCACTGGTTTCSATCCCCAGCACCCCATAAAAATTAATAAATAAAGGTATGTGCCCATCTACAACTAAAAAAGAAAAAGAAGAAGAAGAATGAACAACATAATCACGTATGAAATAGAGAAGAAATACAGATGTCCAAGCTCTACCATCAGAGACTCTAAATGATGTCTGGATATTTAAAAAACAAAGCTCCAAGAGGAATATAATGAAAATGCCCGACTGGTAACACCTGTACTGAGAAATGTCAGCTTTATTATGAGTTTAAATAATACCAAAGAATTCATTTTCATTTTTTAAGGGTAGAAATTTCTGATATCTGTATTCTTATTTAAAATTGTTTGGGGATTTCTATTTGCTGAAGAGTCTAAAAAGATTCTTGATGAAATGAAGGTGGAAAGACACTATGGCTTATTTATATGAGAAACTTAAAGAGTTGAATTCTGTAGGCAAATTTAATTTTTAGCACTCAGCAAATGAACTGAAAACTARTGTATAGGTTCTAACAGAAGAAATCAATTATTTTATTTAGTGTCAACATTGAAGGAAAAACTGCATTGGACCTACTAAATAATATACAACATACCAAAGCTACATATGCTAGAAATTTAAGGAATCTTCAAAAGTAATGTTGACTCTACATAATGTGATATAATCTGCCTACTAACATGTACATTCATAGAAGTAAAAGTATTATCCAACATAATCCTCTATTGTCTCRTGCTTTGGTTATTTTATGATTTAATTATACTCTTTTCTTTCTAGAGATCAAGAAGCCACCAGTGGCCCCCAAGCCAAAGTTTGTGGTAGCAAATAATAAGCCATCTCCTCCACCCGTTGCACCTAAACCTGACATTGTGATTGCTAGTGGTCCACAATCAACAAAGAAAACCAAACCGGCAATCGCACCGAAACCGAAAGTTCTGAAGAGCTCACCTGGTCGAGACATTGGGCAGTCATCATCAGGAACAATCTCTGTGAACCTGGAGGAGCATAAACTGGAATTACCTGAAAGCACTGACAACTTTAATTGCAAAAATGTTGAGGATCAGAGCAGTGATTATATTTTACCAATATGTTCCTGCAGGTCTGAGTGTGTCCATAAGCTTGGGAATAGAGAAGATTCATATGTAAAGCAGCTTGTTTTAGAGCCCCTAGAAATGAAAGAAAATTTACAAAATAGTAAAATTGATGAGTCCTCTTTGACTATAAAAACCAAGAGTAGGTGGGATTCTCGTGGTGAAAAACACAAGAACCAGAGTGGGGTAGTTTTAAAGGCAAGCATCCTAGAAGGAAAGCTCAAAGATGTTTTAACACAACAGATGTCACCTGTAAGTTCCCTGAAGAAGCACAGATCCACAGACAACCCAGAAAGGAATGGTGGCTGTAATTCCAACAGACAATTCAGAATTGAACTTGCAGATTTGTCACCTTCTCTGTCGAGCTTTGTAAAACTTCCTGTTCATCACAACTGCCACGTACAGCTTCCTAGGGATGAGTTTCAAAGTCCTGAAACTTGTCAGGACAGCAGTGAAAAAAGCAATAGTCACTTTCATTCATCTGATCAAGAAGCTCTAGAAAATGGTAAAAGGAATACTTTTATATCTTCAGATGGAGTTAGTAAGAAAACAGAAGTAGAAGACCTTGGTCCCTTAGAAATTCATTTAGTACCGTGTACCCCCAGATTTCCAACTCCCAAGCCCAGAAAGACACGTCCTGCTCGCCTGTTACGCCAAAAGTATATAGACACTCCTAGTGAAAGTACTGAAGAACCAGAGAATTTCAACAACAGCTCGTCTTGTCTTATTGAGGACAGTTTGAAGAACAACAAAGTCAGTRTTCTTCATCAGGATGTTTTGTGTAACCAAGAACAGGTGGACAAAGTGAAACCAGGAAATAATAGTGAACTGAATAGCAACTCCAACGATGACAGTCAAGATTTAATCAATTCACAAGCCATGTGTCAGGAAACATCTTCCTCTGAAAAAGTGGCACCTTCTTTAGATACAGACCCTAATTTGAGTTCTGATGGTACATCAGTAGACGGTGCTAGCATGGCACTTGCCACGGACCAAGGGACGAGTTTTATAARATGCAGTACTCTATCTTTGAGCCTGCCAAAGCAACTCAAATTAACGTACAATGAACATCTGCCTACTGCCTGTAACTTGGGAGTGTCTGTCCCTCAAATGCAAAAGGAATCTATAGTAAAAGAGGAAAGTTCCTCAAAAATTGTCCCCAGAAAACCTCAAAGACACAGCTTGCCTGCTGCAGGAGTACTTAAAAAGGCTGCCTCAGAGGAACTTGTGGAGAAAAGTTCATATCCCTCAAATGAAGAAAAAAATTCAGAGAAGGTTCTAGAAAGAAATCATTTGTGTGCCTCAAACCATGGTATGTCATCCCCCTTTGACATGCCTAAACGAACTTCAGAAAAGCCTGTGTGGAAATTACCTCATCCTATTTTACCCTTTTTAGGGAACCCAGAATCCTTAAAGTCTGTTACTACATCCTCACATAGTGAGCCTCCCACTGCCCTCACCAAGCCTAGAGCAAAATCATTATCTGCTGTGGATATGGACAGGTGCACTAAGCCTTGTAAAGATTCTCCAAAGAAAACCTCTCTTAAGAAGTGGCTCAATATGAAACTGTCCATCTCTTTCATGAAGAGTGATTTTCAGAAGTTTTGGTCCAAGAGTAGCCAGCTCGGAGAGACAAACACAGGCAGTTGTGGGGAGCAGAAAGGGACTGAAAGTGACTGGCATGACCTCATGGTGGGAGAAGAGAAGAGAAGTAAACCCATCAAGGCATATTCTGCAGACAATTACAGCCTGGAATCTCAAAAGAAGAGGAAGAAGTCACGGGGCCACACCAGCACAGCTAATGGTCTGAGAGCTGAGTCTTTAGATGACCAAATGCTCTCCAAGGAGTCATCGTGTCAGGTGGTTTGCAGGTCTCTTACAAACAGCTGTGCTCCAGAATATGAAAATATACGCCATTATGAGGAAATACCAGAGTACGAAAATTTGCCATTTATTATGGCTGTAGGGAAAACTCAAGAGTTGGAATGGCAGGATTCCTGCAGTGGGGAGGACACTGATGCAAATGTGTATGAGGTAGAAGAACCATATGAAGCTCCAGATGGCCAGTGGCAACTTGGACCCAGACATCAGCGTTTCAGGTAACGTTGCACTTTTGCACTCATTATTGTAGTTAACCTTCAGCAACCCCATGAGTAGGAATGCAGTGGGGAAAATCACTTAGGAAGGGACTGATCTAGGAAGTATATGTATTTCCATGTGCAGCCTCCTTATATCATAGAGAAGGAATGGGTATTTGTGTTGCAGGTTTGTAGTGGGTAACTTATTTAGTAGTTCATTCAAAGAATTTAAATAACCATGTAGTACTACCAGGATGGCCTGGAAGAGAGAGTTCCTAGAGCCTGCAAACATCAGCTCAGAAGATGTAGCAGGGAAGTCACAGCAGGGAACCAAGGGCGGAAAATTGGTTAATTCAGTGAAGATTATTTGCTAAATATAGGGAATCTGAAGTTACTGAAATCCATTGATTGACCTGTGATGTCCTTGTCAGGGCATATTCAGAGATGAAACCTCTGTATTTGCAGAAGTTATAGCTCTTTGAGGATTACTTATTCTGCTTGTTGAAGCCTAATTACCAATCTCAGACCTAGGGAGAATGCAGGAAACATATAACTAGTCTTTCTTTCTCACTTTTGTATATGCACTTCCTAACTTTGGAATACCTACTTTATCCTTCTTACTAAAGTTGTGCCCAACCTTGATGGTTCAGCTCATTGACTTCATAAAGCTACAGTTACTTAATGGGAAGTGTGATTTCCATTCTGAACCCTCAGTTATGCTATGATATTCTTATAGCGTATAACCTTTACCTGAGTCTATCTTATGGTATAATTTTTTTATTGGTATGTCTGATGTTCCGCATTCRGTTTTAAGTTCCATGAAGGGTTCTAGTCATATCTTTTTATCTTCCATGAGGCCAAGCAAGGAGTCCAGTGATCAGGAGACCTGGGATGGCAGTAGGAGAAAACGAATAAAAAAAGAGACAAAGGAAATAAGTGTTCAATTTGTGTTTAACAAAAAACAGACTGTTTTAGTTTGGATGTGAGGTGTCCCTCCGCCCCCCAAAGCTCCTGTGTTAAGCAGGAATATTCAGTGGTGAGATGACAAGGGTCATGAGAACTGTAACCTAATCAGCCCATTCTATTTTGAATGKCCTGACTGATGGTCAACTGTTGGCAGGTGGGGTATGGCTGGAAGAAATGGGTCACTGAGGTGTGTCCCAGAAAGGTTCCTCTTCCCTGTAGCCCCTGACCCCTTACTGCCCCTCTGCTTCCTGACCTCCAGGAGCGGGGCAGCTTTCTTCCACTACGCCCTTTTGTTATGATGTTCTGCCTCACCTCTAGCCCAGAGAGAAAGAACTGGCTGATCATGAACTGAGAGGTCAAAATAAACTTTTTCTCCTCTAAGTTGTTCTTGTTAGATCTTTGGGTCATAGTGACAAAAAGTTGACTAGCACAGACCCTTTTGAGGTCTTCACATTATTCTTAGGCCACCAACATCAGGKTTTTGAGTAAATACTCAGCTCCTAAAGTGTTACTTTTTATAGGAAGACTATCCCACCCAGCACATGGGGGCTAATAAAGGGGAGGGGGGATCATTAGCTTGTGAATCAAACATATTGAATTGTCAAGCAAGTCAGTGTATCATGGAAGTGTTTTTAGTTGCTTCAACTTCCAGATGCTTTTCTTGTGTTAATTTCTTTACCGGTCATCCTCTATTTTCTCCTTTTACCAGTGAAAAGCTCCTCACCTCCCTTGCTTAATTTTTCTCTCATCTAACCCCATTTTTGCTTGATTGTGCTTTCACATTAGTCTACTCCCCACACATTGGTACCTAGGCAAAAGCTTCTTTCTTGGCATAAATATTTCAACAGAGAACTGATGTTAATTATCCATCTATTTTAAATTTTTCTCTTTTTTCACGCTTGATGTTTTCTCTACAGGGCAATTTTTTTTTGGTATTGGCCTCTCTTAACATGCATTTCCATATGTGTATGTGCGTATGTCATGAATTTTATTGGTTTCTTTAAGATATACTGTCCTGAGTGTGCTCCATCATTAACATAGACCAAACACATTTGTGCCTTTCCACAATATCAGAATTAATTGAATAACAATAAATTCATAGKCTACACCACTTTCATCAGTGGTAGTTCACTGAATACTTGTGGGTCACTTGGAAATCATAAGCCTGGCAATCACAGGTTTCTTTATTCCAGTCTTAATTTCTAGTATCTGTAACACTCAAGTCACATATTACACTTCACACAATTTTATATTTATAGGTTACAGAAAGGCTAAGAAAAGGGTTAAGGCAGCTATAGGAGTTCAGAAGGCTGAAAGGGAGCAAAGGCAGAGAGCAGAGTTACTGTAGGTGGTCAGGCAAGATTAGAAAGCAGCCAAAGAACTTGCTCAGGGTGCAGAGCTGTCAAAGCAGGAACTTATTCTAGGACAAGATCTGGAGGTGGGCAGTTTCATAGTATAGTGGGACTTATGTGGTCATCACCCACAGGAGAAGTCATACTCTCCCAAAACCCAAGGACAGAGATTCGGAGATTGTCACTGTGGTGATTTTCCTGGGCAAGACTTGTGATGGGTGACTAGGTGATAGGGTCCCATTGCCACCATGTCTGTTCTCAGGATGTGAAGAACATCCATTTGTGGGTCTCTAATGAGGGAGTTGCATCATTTGGTGCACTGGTGTGATCAATAAGCTCACGGGCCTGGTTAATCCAATTTGAGTTTGGTACATCCATGCATCCATGAGTTCACGGGTGGTCATTCTTATTAGCACAGTTAATTTACTTATAGTTTATTCCTTATGATTGTGCCAGGCAGATGATGGTTGTTCACTTGTACAAAGTGTAGGGTCATTCCACCTTAGCACTTAAACTCAAAATGGAGTAGCTTATGGCAAACTACTGCTTTACAAAATGGAGTAATCAAGGTTCAAGCACAACCTGAAAACTACTGTTCTGTACTCACAGAGTGACTCACCTGAGCCTAACCTGCTCTCCACATATACTGTTACTCTTGGCTGAGCTAAACTTCTTTCTTGAAATTGGAGGTTTGGCCCTTGGGATAAGTGTCCTGTGGGCCCTTGGGTTTAAGTCTCAAGGGCTTAGCTTTAGCTGTGACACAGGTTCTTCACTTCTGAAACTTGTTCTTTGACCGGCTTGCTTCTTATTTCAAGGCCTGGCTTAGGGCCTTGCTGCTGAATTGGGGGGAACCAGGTTGAAGGGGTGAGTATACACTGCCAGCCAGTGCAATTGGGCAGGCATTCATTCATACGGTGGGGGGGGGGGGTCTTTCTGGAGGCCGAAGGACACTGAGGGCGGTTTTGGACAGGTTGCAGGCAGCCTGGTAAAGTGTGAGAGAGCTCTGCTTTTGAATTTTGCTTCCCAAGAGGTTCTTGTTTAGGCCTGGAGCAGGGAGCCCTAAACARATTTTGAGACTTCTAAAATGTGCCAGCTGAATCAAAAGCCTTCATTCAGCAGTATTGCCTGGGAGATCTTTCCTTTTGTGAACAACATTGAATAATCAAGAGAAAGCCAAATCCAAGTCTTCATAAGGAGGACACCTGAAAATAAAATAAATATATGCAGGGCATATATTTTAGGTGAGCAGAAAATGATTCAAATGGGAATCCTGTATAGAAGTCTGGGTGCTGTAAACATAGACCTGTGCCTTGCAATAATTAATCCAAAATCCAACATTGCTGCCTGGAATTCTAAAATCTTAACAGGGTTCATTTCCATTTTTTCATAAGATTTTTATGCTATAGTCATTGGCAGAGTATCTCTAACATTTTCTCAGCCTTTGAGGAGGAGAGTCTAGGTCTTGCCTAGGGTGCTGGATCAAAGAATCACTAGCTACATATTTAAAAAAATAATAATTCTGGATGAGTAAACAGACATTTGGCAAGGTTGGGTCATTGTCTTTAAAATATAGATGTGTCATAAATCCAACAGCTTATCKTTTATTAGGAATAATGGTAGTGAGTCCCCAGTTCTAAATTTGTTGGTATTCTAAAAACTCATGTCAATTAGAGACAGTGTATTTCCGGAATAAAGTTTTGGAAATGGTGGTGAAGGTCCCAGTTTAGCCCCAGGTTATATTAATCTTCACTGTCAGAGTCTGCCCCCGGGGGAATTTTCTTGGCCCTTTTGTGTGCTGCAGTGTGATGCAGGCTGGGGCTGAGTCTGGAGTGCTGGCCAGGATGGAGTGAGCACCTGACATCTCAGAGGACAGATCCACAGGTCTGAGGCAGCAGGGTTTGCCCAAAGGGTGAGGTGACTAAAGAAGAATGAGGAAATTGGGGGCTGGGCTTGCTGGAGAAGATTGTTAAGGCTTGGGGAGTGATAAGGAGAAGGAAGGGTGGGGTGGTTGGAAACTAGTAAGCAAAGGATTTCTTTACCTCCTTTTCTTTTATAATCCAGAGCCCTTCTCTCTTTCCTTCCCACTTCTCCTTTGCTGACTAAAAAGTTCTGCTAATTAAATTTCTGACCCTAGACAAGAGTGAGAAGAAGAAATGGGGGAGGACTTTGGGTGGGGTAAAGCAGATGTATCCAGAAGCCCAGAGTGGGGAAGGACTAACAGCCCCATCTGAAGGTGAAAGGAGTCGAAGGGGCGGTCTCATGGCTGGAGAAGCAATGGGTGTTTCCAGATAGTGTATCATTTGGTCACTTCGCTAGGGTCTCAGAGGCAGTTTTGTTGGAAGTCAGATTGTGAGCTCTCTGGAGTATTCCACTGTGCTATATATTTATGAGACCTCTTCCCCCAAATGTTTCAAATATCATAAAACTGAAATACCTAGCAAGCAATGGACATTTCTAGTTTATTGGTGTGCAGGTGAGGAGTTTTCGTTTACTACCACTTTTATTTCAGGGAGTTTGATTTTCATAGGAAGGTTCCTAAACTTTGWGTGGTTGATATTAAAGGTGGATAGACAAATCAGCAAAATAATAATGTCCAAATGTTAGAATTTTTCTTTTGAAATTGAGGCAGATTTCTTGACTTGGTAGAGAAAAAAAAACTTTTCCTGGAAACATTCCAGGTTTTTCCTGTGTTTTGTGCTAAGC